TAATGGCTAAAGCAGATTGTGCTTCAGTTGTTTTTCTAGAATTTAAAAGTAAAATTCAGGCAAGTCTAAATGTTTTCACTGGTAGATTCAAGGATATCCAGCTCACTTTTAGAAATAATCCTGTGGAACTTTGATACTTCTGTTTCTGTACAAGTTAAGTCTGAAGTGAAACAAAATCTCCTTCCCAGTTTCAGTAAAAGCCTGAAACTCTCTTGATATATTTCCAACATAAAACCTGGTCACCAATGCTACAGTTAATAACATAGACATTTCAATATAGAAAAAAACCTTATTATAGCCCTTTAAAATAAAAAAATTTGGCCTCTGACACTTCTCTCCAGTTATATAATATTWAACAAACACCTGCTGATGGTGCAGATATAAAATTCAGCTGGAATCAGCAAGAGCCAGGTGCTCAACCTGGGCACACTTTGTGCAGCACAAACTTGGAGCAGGTTTGGGATTTGGGTGATTTAGRATTCCTACAACATTTTTTCAGGGTTTTTTGACAGAATGTGTTTGTGGGATTATACCCAAGATGCTTCCTGTAGAGGGAAGAGAGCTCGGCATGTTTAATTGGAGGCATAGACACAAAATATGTGAATTTTARAAAAAGAGAAGGGGAAGTGGCCAGGAGCCCATTAAATGTCTCAAATRAGAAGACACAAAAATTTGAGTGGGTTGCTTGTTCCTGATGTTCTTTAAAATGAAGGACAGTAAAAGCAAATTTTTGCAAAAGATCATTGACTTTCTCTATGGCTTTATTTCAGGCACAGAAATAAAGGGAGAGCTGAGGGGACAAAATAATTGAAGCAGYTGCTAATAGCATTTTAAATTTCAGATTGATTTTATCGGAAAAAACATCTCTGCATTGGTTATAAATGAGCAGTTGAAGCAGTTGCACGAACACTTTGTATTTTTTCGGTTTTGTAGCAAAATTCTTGCTCRAATAGCTTGAGAGAGAAATAATTTTTTGGCCCTTTATGCAATTATCTGAAACAYTGAAGAAATGGGGAAGGGAAAAAATATCTTTGAGGAATCCAAACTGAGCTTGCAGTTGTCTCTCAGCAAAGGATGGGCAAGTGTTGTGATGTGCAGAAATCAATCTTTTGCTCTGGTCAGTGGCAGTTTCAGGCTTCATTTGTGCAGCAGCTTAGCTGGGTACTCCCGCAGCAAAGCCTCTTCTTAATCTGAAATTAGGAAAACCAGAGCCAGAAGGGGAGACTCAGCTGCCTTCCTGGCCTGCCAAGAGAGCATTCCTCGCCTCAATGCTGTTTGTATTTCACAAAGTTTCACATTGTGTGAAATTAATGGCGTGTGATGAACTCCGCATTCAGGGAGCAGAGAAAGTTTGTATCTGTGCTGTGCTGGCGGAGTTTATAAACTGTGGCTCCTGAGAAATGTTTTGAAATGTCAGATGTTGGTATTTTGTGGCTTAAATGCGAAGYGAACGCAGAAAACAAGAGGCGAATTAAGAAGAGGAAGAGAAAAAAAATGGTAGTGTTTGGTTCTCCAAACCTAGTGTTTGGCACTGGAAATAATTCCTAGCTGGTGGCTGAGCCTTTTTGGGGTTTTTTTGTGCTGGTGACGGAGAAAATTCCTCTTGCCTTGAGCACCTGAGGTGGGGGAGCAGTGAGGAGTCCCCTGATCTGAGCTGTGCTCACASATCCTCGGTGGGATCGTGGCTGTGCTTTGCTGCCAGGAGCGAGTGCACAGGGAGCAGGAGGCTGTGTGGTTTGTCAGTAATTCAGAAACCACAGGCAGCATTTTTATGGCTTTATGGGCAGAGCTGGGTTTGAAAGTGCTTGGTGTGCTCCAAAACGTGCAAAGGCTGTGGGCTGTGTCAGGATCACGCAGGGATGCTGATGTTTTGTGATTCCCTGAAATTTCTCCTTTGAGATCAGCATYCTGCATTTCTAAATTCAGAATTATCATGGAAAAATTATATTTGGAAAGGCCCTYAGCCTTTAAGATTCTCCCATAAAACCTGTGCCTCAAGAATACRTCCAGTCCGAAGACCAGGGCTTTGTTCTTGTGCTTTTGGTGTTAATTGTGAGTCTTCACCAGCCAAAGACCAGAGGAGTGAAATGATCTTATGGATGTTAAATAATCGTGAAGTAAATTGGATTGATACAGTTTTTATTTGGAAAGAGGAAACGACTCCTGTATTGTTGTGGTTTACAAATATTGAAATGCTTAAACTAATTGTCGGCCTCAATTTTGAATGGGGAAGCAAAATCAAACCCATGATGTRCTCAGAGTTTCTCACAGCACTTGCCAGGAAGAATCCAAGTTTTGAAAGCATTTGGCCTGCTTTCAGAAAGAGATTTTAATGAGATTAAAAGAGAAAGAATGTGCAAGTTTGATTAGGAAGTTTGGCCGTGCTCTGACAATGGGTTCCTGCAAGCCAGCACAGAAAATGKTGTTGTTTTTAGGGGTAGAATTGATTTGTTCTGAAAAATGAAAAGTAGGAACCAGTGGGTAACTTGAATTATTCCAGCACAGTGTCCAGATTAGTGTGAGAATCCATCCTGTTGGACACAGATTGCAGGAGCTTGGAAGGCAATTTAGTGGCCCAGACAAATTTCCTCTTGGACTTTTCAATTTTTCAGCTGGTTATATTCCAGTCAGAATCAAACCAAGGATTTTGTGGGTTGTACAAAGCAAGCTGGTTTCAAAACAGAAAGTATCAATCAATCTTTCACTTTTCTGCTGTCAGGGCTTCTCCTCCAGCTCTGGTGGGGAGCAGTTGGAGTGTTCTGGAGCTTGGCAAGGCAGAGCAAGCCTGGTGCATGAGGAATGATCCATTTGCTTATTGGCACRCCCATGGGAATAGCTAAAATAAATAAATAAATGTGCAAATTAAGGGCTCAAATTGCTTCCAAAAGTCTCTTTGATTACCCATATCCACTTGGTCAGCCTCCTGTCAACGTGYTTTATCAGTAAGTAACAGAGCTGGGGTGAGGAAGCCATGGGGAGGTGGGGAGGGGCAGCTCGTGAACACTTTATTTGAAATGACCTGGATCTGCAAAGGCTTGAGAATCACTGAGTCAGTATAAAGGCAATAAAACRAGGTCTTTTGGTCCTTATAACAATGATTGAAAGGCTGTTTTCTTTCTCATTTAACATGCAGCAAGGACATATGGGAGAAGGCGAGGTAACAATATTCCTATTTAATTTTCTAATGTTGACAATGTCTCATGGGAGAAATAACATTCAGTTTTTACTAGAGGGCAAAGTCCCACATTTCATCTTAGAAGGGAGCAGTTCCACGTACGTTTACATAGTCTGCATGCCAGAAATCAGAATTTTAACCGGATTAGGGAGTACCTGAGGCTGAACTGATCACAGTGGACATCATTTTATGGTTTGTGACCCCGGCGGGCTGTGTTGCTGTGTTTGTGTGTATGTTACCAATGCTGGAGGAGTTTATTTGGGGAATTTTGGGTGCTGATGGAGCATWAATACAGCGAGTGTCTGAGCTGCTGGTGTCAGTGCGTGTGTGGAGTTATCCAACAGGAAAGGGGCTCAGGGTTGGGAACTGCTCCATCCCAACAATCCCTGCAGGACTGGGGTCTGGGGAGATGAAACAAATCACATGTACTCCAATTCCTTAGGGAAAAATAAGGGTTAAGTCAATATTACAATATTTTTGTCATAGCAGGAACCAGGTTTGCCCAGCTACAGAAATAGGCCTGATTATACTTGACTTTATTTTAATTAAAGGTGTATAAAGAAGAGTCTTGAAATTTCAAATAAAGCAACCTGACCGAGGTTTCTATTTTTTATTGATATAAATTCTATGGACTGTGGATTTTATTGCATTTTTTTTGTTGTTTTTTTCCTTTCAGCTTCTTAGCTGCTTGATTTTTTTCACAGAAAATGTCTGTCCCTTGGTCAGATTTTCTGTTTTCAAGATGTTTTCTTTTTTTAAATGAATTTCTTTCAAGGGAAGGAGGCAAGAACAGGGTAAATTAACCTCACCAGTACATTTCTATGTTAGATTGGAGGAATTCTGAAAAAGCAGACACAGTGTATCACATCCTAGGCAAAAGGAAACGTATSCTAAAACTTGTAGCACACCTCATTACTTACTTTCCCTATATACATTTATTCCTAAAATGCTCCTTAAATGAGTAAAAGTCTCAGTTTGTTGTGTAGCTGTTGAATATTGGAACTAAAAAGAGGGAATTCATGGCAGAGAATAGCTCCTGTGCTCTATTTAGAATATTATACAGTTGCATTTATAATCAAAGAATTTTATCTAAAAATAATAAATATTATTAAGGAATTAATTCTGTGATAAAGGATTATCATAGAAGGATGCTGGACTGTAAGTGGAACATTTCTCATTTTACATTTTCTCTTAGAGTGAGGCCAACAAAACTCTGTTTTGACAGTGAAGTAAAGTTGTAAAGGGGACAGTTTTCAGTCTTTGCAGTAAATGTGTTTTCCTGTTTTCTTCAGGTTATTTTTGTTATTTACTAGTGGGTGGTTTATGGTATGTTTTGATGGCAGGTAATTTAAATGTATAATATATTTAGCTGGTAGAATTCTTGATTTCCATCTTCACCTTGAAATTGTATCTGTTCCCTGTAAAAAGCTGTTCACTGGAAAATGGAATATATGGCTTGATATTGTGAAAGCCCCAGAAACCAAATTGGCTGTTTCTTCCCTTTTTATACTTTTAAAAAGTAACCTAATTGGAAACACAAAATATTACAGAAAACAGTCAGCTTGAGCATCCATTAMAATCCTGATTTGTGATGAGGAGGAACCTTTCCTCTGAAATAACGCATTTGAGTTGCTGGATGATTCTGAAACCTAAAAGGGTGCAATGAAATTGAGAACATAACTGCTCATTCAGAAGGCAAAATCACTCCCACTTCTGCTGATGCAGCAACTGGTGCATTTTCCCAATTAWTCCCACAGTGTGTGCTTTGTTCTGTTAGTATGTTGTTTTTTTTCCTGTTTCTCTTTTTTCCCACCCCCCTGTTCAGGTCAGTCTTCCCTGTTCCCGATGGAGGATGGATTCCTGGATGATGGGCGTGGGGATCAGGCTCTGCACAGCGGTTTGGGCTCTCCTCACTGCTTCTCCCACCAGAACGGGGAGCGCGTCGAACGCTATTCCCGCAAAGTTTTCGTGGGGGGGCTGCCACCAGACATCGATGAAGGTACAAAAATCCCTCACCCAGGGGTGCTGCTGCTGCCTCAGGGACAGAATTGGGCTGGGTCAATTTTTCTGCATCTCAGGGATGGGGTATTTTCCAAACTTTGATATGGAAATGGATCTGAGATCAGTCAAGTGAGTTTAGGCTGTGGCATTGTTCTGCCACAAGATCACGGTGCCACGCATTAAACTGACTTCAGCAGGATAAAAAGTACAAAAGTGCAAACTTAAACCACTAAATATCACCTGTGGAAGCTCATAAATCCATTACAATCATTTTACAGGCCCCAGAAGTCAGCAGTAGCAAAAGCTGCTCATAGTTTTATAAGGTCTGTGTGGGGTATTTGGTTGCTCCTGCATGATTGAGGTTTCCAGCAAGGATTTTGTCCTGTGGTAGCTTCTGACACATCAAGGTGGGAACCCAGACAAGAATGAATCTGTGCAGGGCATCCTGAGGAACCAGGGAGTTGTGGTGGGTCCATCACACAGACACAGGTGACAGAACACTGCTGTTTTTATTATTAAAATAAAATTAGAAAGTCAAGTTACAAGTGTTGTGAAGCTTTGTTTCACCAGAGCTCTGTGTTCTGTGTGTAGGAGCCTGTTGGGATAGTGGTTAAAAGAAATGCAACAAGAAAGCTGGAAAGTTTCATTTTCTTAATCACAGAATTCTTAATCCCCACTTTTTTGTGTCTGAGCTTGTAATGCTTTACTGTGATATGGCAACCATAAGAATTTCATGTCAACTGTAAGAAAAACTACTTTATTTTTAAAAAGTCAATTATTACATGGTCTTTACAGGGGGGAAAATGACCTTATGGTCTCTCKTGTTGTTTGATTCTTAACTGTCACCTTTGGGGTTCAAAAGCAGATGAATATTTTGAATATTTTTTTGAATATAGATGAATATTTTGGTGTCTGGACCCCAGTTATTGAAGAGCAGGATATTTACTGAACCTGTGTGAGGAGCTGGCTGCTTTCAGGGCTCCCTTTCTCCACAGAAATGTGAATTAGAACAGCCCTGCAGGTTCACTCTGTGTCACTTGTGGGTGACAGGCTCACATGTGGCTGCACATGTGACAGGAACAGGCAGGGCTGGATCTGGGAATAGTCCCTTCTTTTTTTTTCCAGTCTTTCTGCAATTTTATATTGGCAGAGCTGATTGATTACCAGCAAGTCAGCAAATTGTCTCCAAACTCTTTGTSGGTGAATAATTGAAACTGGATTATTATAATTTACAGGTGCAGTGGCTCAGTTCCTGTGAATTAGTGGGTTATGCATTTTTATTTATAATTATCAGTTTTCAGATGTCTTAAATTCAATTTATTTTCATTTTAAGTTCATGCCTTTTTCCTTCTCTCCTGTTCCAGATGAGATCACTGCAAGTTTTCGGCGCTTTGGACCTTTGATTGTAGACTGGCCACACAAGGCAGAGAGCAAATCTTATTTTCCTCCTAAAGGTAAATCTCTAAAAACCAATTATTTTAGGATTAATTTTTCTTGTTAAGACTCCATTTTGGACAAGATTGGTCTGACAGTGACACAATGTTTAGGGGAAAAAGGTTGAATCCTGGGGATTGTTCCAAACTGGTGAAGTTTACAATGTGGCTTTGCAGTTATTATTCACTRAAAGAATTCTTCCTTAACTTCCTGTTTTTACTTTATTCCATTTTCCCATTTTGCCTCTGTTGTTCTTCTTGCAATAACAGCTTTTTAAAGGCATTAAACGCCTTCCACAGCAGCTGGGAAGGATTTGTCCCTTCTATGAACAGCCAGAGCAGTTGTGGGTTAGAAAGGTGTGCTGAGAGCACCTTAAAGYTCATCCCTTGCCATGTCAAACATAATTCTGTGTTCAGTGGTGATCCCACAGCCAAGCACACAGCAGCAGTGATGTTTCTGTTTTCCCTTTGCCAGGATATGCATTTTTGCTGTTCCAAGATGAAAGCTCTGTGCAGGCACTGATTGATGCATGCATTGAAGAAGATGGAAAGCTCTATCTGTGTGTTTCCAGCCCCACTATCAAAGACAAACCGGTAGGTGGAATTGCACAATTCCTGGGTGATAACCACAAATTGGGCTCTTCAAAAAATATATATATGCAGGGTTTTTTTCTGTCTTCAGAATGTTAAAGTTTAAATTTCTTTAAGGTGTCAAATTAAGTTCATAAAAAGATCAACTAACTTACTTTTGAACTAGACCTAAGAAAGTTTTTTAGTCTGATTGTAATGCCTGTTTTTGTCAAAAAGAGATGTATTTYCAGACAGGTATTTTATGCTTGCCACTCATGAAAATGTAGAATTCTTATTGTGTGAGTGTTATATGTAACAGAGACAAATCCTAAAAAAACATCCAGTGGCCCTGAACTGTAGATTATTAATATACAAAGAGTTTGGGGGCTGATGCAAGTCTGTTAATTGTTGGGGAGAGTTCTGCTCTAGTTCTGTACTTCAAATTTTGGTCATCTGTAACCAAMTATAAAGCAGCACAGTAAATAAACGGACAACTGTGGAGCGTGCTGCCCTKAGATAAGGCTGGGACAACAGGAGCAGTGCAGATCTCTGTGACCAGGGGGGTTGGACAGCACAGCTCAGTCATGATTAAGTAAATGTGTAAATGAGAGGGTGAGGGGTTTTTTTCCCAGAAATTTGGGTAACATGGAAGTGATGAAATTTAGCACCCTCAAAKGGTCTGTCTTAAGAGAGCTTGTTACCATTTCATTTTGAGAAATGATTGCTAAACAAGTAGAGTTTAGAAAGTACAGCTGTTTAGGAAGTTTTTTCTCTGTAGGACACCGTTGTAATTGATATTACTGAGACACTTTGAATTGTGAATGGCTAAAAAAACCAGGCTTTTTATCCATAGGTTCAGATCCGGCCTTGGAACCTTAGTGATAGTGATTTTGTTATGGATGGTTCCCAGCCTCTTGACCCAAGAAAAACCATTTTTGTTGGTGGTGTTCCTCGGCCTTTACGAGCAGGTACACGCTGCAGCGCCGGGCATGGGGAGCACTGGGGGAAGCGAGGGAGCATTGTTCAGTGTGGTGACAGTGGGGGACAGGAGCCAGCTGGCCTGACTGCTGCTGGTACTGCTGAACCTACAGCTCTCTTTGCTTTTGCTTTGTGCTGCAGTGGAGCTGGCCATGATCATGGACCGGCTCTACGGAGGGGTTTGCTACGCCGGCATCGACACGGACCCCGAGCTCAAGTACCCCAAAGGAGCTGGGCGGGTGGCGTTCTCCAACCAGCAGAGCTACATTGCTGCTATCAGCGCCCGCTTCGTGCAGCTGCAGCACGGGGAGATTGATAAACGGGTAAGGGCTGAGTCCCCCTGCTCCCTCTGCAAACGCCCTTCCCCGCCCCAGGGGGAAATGCTGCAATGTTGCACCATCTTAACCCCGTATTTAGTGCCTCTCGGATGCAGAGCAGGGTAAAAATGGAGTGCTGGGGAGCTGGTGGTTCTGGCCTGTGGGAGGTGACTGTGAAACACTTTCTTGAGCTGCTTAGTGTGGTGGGAAGTGTGGCAGCTGCCGTGGCCTTTTCCAAGAATATTGCACTCCTCAGATGCTCCTGCTGCAGGGATTTGTGTGTTTGTGAGATGCCTGCCTTACTCCTGCCTTGCATCCTTTGGGAGAGCAGGAAGAGCCACCCCAGTGTGTGCTGGGTGTCCAAGAACATCCTGGTAGTTCCTTGTAAACTCGTTCTGTGCACTGCAGCCTCACAGCCACCCTCTAGCCTGTGCAAAGGCTGTGTTGGGTTATTTAATTCCTTTATTATTGCATTCCTTATTATTTTAAATTAGAGGAACATGGATCAGCACTTTGCTTTCTGTTCTCTTCATCTCTCTAAAATGTAACTGCCAGTTACAGTGATTTTCAGAGCACAGTTTTGGGAAACTCAGATGCTCACATCTCTTCTAATTCATCCTTTGTCTGGCTTTTTCCTACGTGACTGTCACTACTGATCTTAATTTTACAGTTAATACAGCGGAAAGCCTCCAAACTTGGCTGATTAGCCCATTATCATTTCACTTCTGCTTTGGCTATAAAGCTCRGGCAGAAGAATTGTAACAACAATTGGACTGTGGGCCTGTGAATTGGAATGTCTTTGTTCTAATCTTGGCTCGGAAAKAAGTTCTGCACAGCTTTGAACAAATAATTTGGGCCGCCCTTGTGCAACTTGTGCTTGCATAAGCAGACACTTGGGTGAATAGGTCCATTGAAGCTGGTGGGACTACAAATTTAAGTAAGTACTTGTGAACTCGAGAAAAGATTTTGCAATCTATTTCCCCTTCCTCCTCTCCTCCCAGTCTTTATTTCCTCATTTTTGTGTAGTTTTTGTGTGGGGAGATAAATGCTCRGAGAGGATTTATTGTAGGGAAGATGGGGTACATGAGGGAGGTAAAAACACAGCAACACTACTTCTTATTAAGGTTCTGTTTATTAATAGTTTTCTAAGACTGTTATTCTGTAAAAAGAAAAATAAAATTAGTGAAAAAAAAAAGTAACCAGAAGGGATTTCCTGTAAAATTAGGCAAGGAGGTGATGCTAAAGGGTGTGCCCTGAGATAATGTAAAGGAACAGTTCAGTGCCTGGGGCTGCCACCCTAAGGGGTCCTGATGGAGCTGCTGGAATTGAGGCTTTTCTGGAGCTGGGAAATTCACTGTGGTCAGCTCAGGGAGCAGTTCAGCCCCTGTCACACTCAGAATAAACCTGACAAGGACACCTGAGCTGCAGTTTGGCCTCTGAAGTTGGCAGAGCAGAGGGAACGGGGCAGAATCACCACATGAAGGAGGCCTGTATGGCACCTTTGTCCTTTCAGCACTTGGAGAAGGCAGCACTCCTCAGAAAATGCCCAACCCCACACTGCTCAGCAGATCAGGGGATGGAGAAAGGCTTGTTAGGAGTATTTGCCTTCTTCTGCTCTTCTGCAAATCGACTGAGTTGGCAGGGAKGGGGTTTGAGAAATGCAACCCGAGCACTGGAAGAGGAGAAAAACAGGTCATTAAAAAGGCTGCAGTGCTGTCTCTGAGAATTTTATGTGTCCTGTAAGCAAAAATGACATCAAACTGCTGCAGTGCTGTCTGGGCTGTGATAAAATWGGGTGGGTTTAAAAACCCAGCAAGTTGTGAATGTCCTTATTTGCCTGAGCCTGTGAGGTGTGAGAGGAGCAGCCCCTGGCCAGATGCAGAGATAACAGCAGAGATAGCAGTCACAGCCTGGGTGCTTGAAAGTGTGGGTGAAAACATCAGTTAAATGAGCTTCAGAGAAGGTTCACAAACCTTGCTGGAACAGGAATTTGTGCCTATATTTGTTCCTGCTGTTCTGAATTCCTGCCCATCACCTGGCCCTTAATGCCAGCAGCGTAGGAGGGCATCAGTCCCCTCTTAAGCTTCTCATTTGATCCCAATAAGATCAGGTGGATTTCCTTGTGCTGAGAGAACTAAGCCATGGAAAGAAAATACAGAAATGGAGTATTTATTTAGAGAACAAATGATTTTTTTTTTTAACCTTGGGACTTCAGACATTGAAAGTTGCAGGCTATGTGCATATTTCATGGGCAGTTATGRTGTTGTATAAACAGTTTCCTTTCCTACCTGAAAGGGAAGGAGCTTAACTGGGCATCAGAAATAACTCCCAGGGTTTTGGTGTCAGTCTGTGTATCAACAATAGGTGTAAATCAGTGACAGCATGTGTGAGACTGATGGTCAGCACTGATTTCTGGGGAGGTTTTAAGGATCAAGGAGGGAGCAGGAATGTTGTGTGTTCCAACAGCCAGGATCAGGTGTAATGAGGGGGAAATCTTGAGTGCAGCATTCCCTACTGCAAACCTGCTGGCTGTGCTGGCAGAACATAGAGAGTGGGTGGTGTGGAAAGAAGAATTTGCTATGAAGAATGATGAATTTCTTTGTTTCTTGGCTGCAGGTGGAAGTTAAGCCATATGTCCTGGACGATCAGCTGTGTGACGAGTGTCAGGGCGCCCGCTGCGGCGGCAAGTTCGCCCCGTTCTTCTGTGCTAACGTGACGTGTCTGCAGTATTACTGTGAATATTGCTGGGCTGCTATCCATTCCCGTGCCGGCAGGGAATTCCACAAGCCCCTGGTGAAGGAGGGAGGGGACCGCCCGAGACATATTTCATTCCGCTGGAACTAAAGGATCGCTCATTTGCAGGCCTCCAATTAAGTGCACTCTTCTGTTCTCCCGACTGCCCTCCCCACTCCGCCCCGTACTCACAGCATGTCCTTTTGTAGTAGTCTGTAATTTAACAATAGTCTAATGRAAGAATGACCTATAATGGGTATTTTATAGAATCTTGTCATTGAAAACTGTATTGGGAACTCCTTTTCGTATCGATAACATGTTGCAAGCGAGTTGCATTCTCTTGTCTTTACTACCGAGAGAACACTTAATTTCCTGCAACGTTTTCTTAGAGGAGAGAAAAATATTAAGAGAAGAGAATTGAAACAATAGAGTATTTTGGTTTTTTAATTAAATTATTGTTAATAAAGAACATAATAATACTTTTATTAAATAACCGTGTAACAATAACACTATCAGTCTGTTCTGACACTTTCCCCCAGGGAAGCCTGTTTTTGCCTCTCTCTTTTTTTTTTTTTTTTTTTTTTTTTTTTTTTTTTTTTATCTACATTTTTTTTTTTTTTTTTTTTTTTTTTTTTTTTTTTTGGACTTTGGATTTTTCCAGCAACAGATGAAGTTAGCATTTACCTACCAACAGGAAAGAGCATGTTTAAAGCAACAAAAATGCATGAGCAAAGTTGAAGCAGCACTATAATAATGATCTTTTTTTTGTTGGGTTTTTTTTTTTTAATCTTCTAAGGGTTTTGAGGCTGAAATTTTAGCTCGGTGTGTATCTGACCGTGCCTCTGGCTACCACCCACATCCAAATTACTAACGAGATAGGTAGAGCTTACTATATTTTCATCAAAATGATTACATTTTAAGAATTCCTGAATGTAAAAGTTGAGTAAAGTTACTACTGAGGGGGGAGTGCACTTTTTTTTCTTTAAGAGAACTCAATTGTCTGGTTACAGCCCTAGATATCCTACCAAAGCTAGAGTAATGACAACTAGTGAACTGGCATTTCCTCTCCTGAAGGATAAATGTATAGATTTTATTTTTGATGGCTATATATAACTCTATATCCTAATATACTAACATTCATCAGGGGCCAGCCTTTGCTCTCCATTTTGACGTGAAAAAGTAGAAAACCTAAAGATACCTCAAGGATATCACAGATTTTTCCTGGAGTTTTGCTATTCCATTGTGGCACACAAACTCAAATTGGCTGCTCACTGGTTTCCCATCTTGGCTGTGAGGTCAGTTTGCAATCCCCTCAATTTAGCTGTAACAGAAGGCATGAACCCRAGGAGTTTCCAAACCCTGCTTTGCACTGTTGCTGCACTGGTGCATGGTGCAGGTGTGCAGATGCCTTTCTTACTCTTGCTGTAGAAACAATCCCAGCTCAGCTCCCAGCTCTTCTGAACTCACAGTGGGGAGATAAAGACACGCAGGTGTTKGAAGTGCCAACGTTGCTAATTAACGCCGGCTTTATTGGAACTCAGTCCTACCTTGAGGAGCATCAGCCCAGGACACGTGAAGCGAACGCTGACGAGTGGGTGCAGAGGGTTTAGTTTGAAACAGATGAATGAAGGAGTAGTTCTGAAAATTTATTTTTAGTACTTTTGAACTAAATGCCCCRGCCAACTTCTCCACCAAGGATGTAGCAGTGTGCAAACAAAGTGATTCTGTGGCAATCTCTGCCCGGCCCCAGGGGCCTGGGACCACCYGAGAGTCTCCCAAACCAAAGATTTGCCCTGGCACTGCTTGGAAAAACATCTGCTCCCTTCAAAGCCCCCCTCATCCCCTTCCCCCAGCCCCCATTATCTTTATGAGAAGCAGTTTTTATGTTCAATACAGGCTTTAATGAACTGATACCTTACCAAGTTCCAAAGGTCAAAATGGAGACATTTGCTGTCTATTAGTCAAGTATAGCAAGGGAGCTGCTTTTCCTGAAATCCCTGAAAATATTGACAACAGTAATGCAAATGCAGAGTGCTCTTGTGTAGATTGTCAGGGACTTTTTTTTCTCTGAAGTACATAATTCTAGTTGGAATGTTCCTTTCATTTTTTTAATGCTTGTAGGTGGCTTGGGGTGTGCTATTGTGCCGATCCTACCCAGCAAACAGGTGAGGTGGGTTTCCATTACAAGAAATAACACTGTTTGAGAACTAGCTTTGAATAATAATTTTTTCCCTTTGTACATGACCTGCTGAATTTCGGTACAGTGTTTTTGTAGCTAACTTATTTTGTCATGCACATAATGTATATTTGTTATGCACTACTTTTGTATATCTTGTTTTTCCAACAGTGAGCATTTTTAGGCACACTTTTCACTGACGGGATATCTCTTTATGCAATACCTCAATTTTTCATATTGCAAAGAGTAGCTTTTTGTACTTTTATTACTGAGAGATCTTCATATACTTCATTTTTTAATATAAATAATTTTAATAAATTTTATTTTCTTATATTCTGCTTTTTATACATTTCAGTGCTCTGCATACATTTTGAATTATGGATGTTGTGCACTGGCAATGCTATTTTAGAATCTGCAGAGAAAAGAAAGCATGTTGCTTAAACATCTTAGCCCAGCACCAGGTATTTGGTGTACATATAATTTAAGAAATAGTATATGTAAAGTTGAGAATTAAAGAAGAAAAAGCATGAAAGTGACAAATGACACTTGTCTTTAGACCCATGAAATTTAAATGCATAAATATAGTGTAGAAATTTAAAAGTCAAGAACCATCAAAATTGTCTACCGCTTCTTACTGAGTTTTTAAAAATTATACACAAATGCAGACGTTTTTGGTGAATGTTTAGCCATTTTTATTATTAATAAAGAATCGATGTTAGGTGTTTGATGCAGAACCGTGTCTGCTCTTTTAAATTATATTTAAAGAATAAAAGAGAGCCTGCTAGGTGGCAGGCATGTAATGTTAGTATGCATGACTAATGTAAGAAATTGTTATTCTACTAATATTCACTTGTGATTGTGTGACAAGCGTGTTTACAGATCCTTTGGTTACACTTCGATTTACAGGGCATAAACAATTCTCTCCATTACTCTGTGCTTCAATAGTGCTGACAAGGCCTTCTGATCCCATGGGGCTGGTGGGTTTGGGGTTACCGTGTAGCCCCAGGCTCATTAAGGTGTAATTAGGTACCAGTGGTGGGGTGTCATTAATGAGCAGCGGGGGGCGTTCCCGGGGGAGTTACAGAGTAATTCCATGGTTATTTTTGCAATGTAAAATAAAGTGTTTCTGATTATTTTATATGTAAAGGAACCCCACTGCCCCGTGCTTTTTTGGTATAGTCTCTACTTCTCCATACACAGACCTCTGCAGAATGCAAATTTCAACCTTGCAGTGACTGAATTTAGCGTTTTCTAAGGATGCTGTTGGAAAGACTTGATAATTCACCCCTTGTGTTTTTGAAGAGTTAAAACCTTCTGTTCAAAGGTGATTTAAAACTTGAATGTGATGAATTGTGGCAAGTTAACTTCAAGTTATGTGCAATACCTATTTCAGACTTCTGGAAGATCTTTGCAGTGTAATTCTTTGTTTTTAATTGCAGACATTTAAAAATGTCATTTTCTACTGTTCTAGTAAATCCTCTTTCTTGCTGGTGTTTCTAAAGAAAAGAATCAGAAATCAATCTTTCTACTAATGTAAATTTGAGATTATTTTTAAAAAAAATGGAATAAAAGGTTTTGGTCATTTGCTTTATTTTATTATCTTATTTTAAAGCTACTGTGATAGCATTGTAAGAATTGGGACAATATTGTATTCAACTGTTTTATTTTTTATATTTTTAAATTTTAAAGTATAATTAGTTTTTATAATTTTCATCAGATTTTTTTGTTATATTTTTTGGAAGTGAAACTTTTAGCAAGTGGGTGTCTAGTTTTTACTAATCCCTAATATGTTTTTCCCCCAATGTATTGCTCATATTATCAGAAGGAAAAGTTATTTAAGTATGTCAGTTAATTGTACTACTTGGCTGAATTTCCATATAGTTTTTACTGTGTATGGGGAGGTTGTAGTATTTATTATAGCATTTTAAATAAGGGTAATTCATTTTTTAAAGTCATTTTCACGTTTAAGTTCATATTTTTGTATGTTCTACTCTAAGTTATATAACACAAGTTACTTTTTTTAAAGAGTTCATTTGTTGAAGTGCTAGTGAAAATTAATGTTATTAAATAGTTTGCAAATGACTATTTATACCAGTATGCATATAATTTTTAAATATTTGTAATGTGAGATGTTGAATGAATAAAACTTTTAACTCAATGTTTYCCCTTAACCTTTTTATTTTGAGCTTCCTGCAGGACCTTGTTCCTTTGTGGCCGCAGCTCTTTGGGCTCGGGAAGGGGATTTTGTTGGGCTCTGTGGGGTGAGAAGGGTTTTTTTAGGATAAGCTCAGCTGCCCTGTTCTGGTCACAAGTGCGGCAAGGTTTCCTGGGGGCGGTGAAGATCAGCAGGTGAGAGAGAACCACTGAGGCACAGGTAACCCCACGCTGGTTTGGGCTGGGAGGGATCAGACAGTGCCACCCCTGCCATGGCAGGGACAGCTGCCACTGTCCCAGGGTGCTCCCAGCCCTGTCCAGCCTGGCCTGGGACACTGCCAAGGATCCAGGCACAGCCAGGGAAGGATTCACCGCCCTCACAGGGAAAGATTCCTTCCCAATATCCCATCCGAACCTTCTCTCTGTCACTTTGAAGCCGTTCCCCCTTGTCCTGGCACTCCAGGCCTTTGTAAAGGGTCTTTCTCCACTTTTCCTTCTGCTACTGAGAGGCCTAAGTTGGGTCAACCAAATGCTTCTCTTTTCCAGGCTGAACAATCCCAACTCCTTTAGTTTGTCAGAAACCACCGTGCAGTGGGACAAAGAGAGAACCAGAGCGGGGCCAGGGCAGAGAGCCCAGCAAGGCGTGGACAGAACGAGGATTCTTTTTTAATTGTCTCACGGCTGTGRTCTGACAGCACCAGAAGACATCTGGCAGTTTAGAGAACTTGCTCATTTCAGCGTTTAATTAAAAATATCTGAACCTGAAATACCAACTGTGTGAARTGTTGCTGCCTTATAGATGTGCCCTCTGAGGGCTATTCAACAGGTGCTTAAAGAATCCCAGAGTTGGCCGCTAATCTCGGGTGCCATCGCTGAAGGAATTGTGGTGTAAATGTTGGGTAGATGGTGAGTCTCATTCCTTTGTGCCGCTGCTCCAGGAAATGCAGATCAGRAGCTCTGATGGGATTAGTTCAGCCACTGCTGATCGCTTCACCTGGCACACGTAGCAGCTCTGCCTTTGCAGAGTGGTTTTGAACAGGAATGGGAAGTCTGGCTGGTGCCTCTGTGTAGATATTTCYAATTCCCGTAACAGTTTCTGTGTGAACAGAAAGTTGGGATGCTTGGGATCAGAAGTGGAGTGGCTGGAGGTGCACTGCCTGCCCAGTGACTCAGGAATTSCTCAGTGCTCAGTGCCAGCCCAGCAGCACCAGACACTCGGCCAGTTCCAGCGTGTGACTTGGCTGGGAAACCTTATCCCTGTGTTCTCCGCACCGGGATTGTTAGGAAATRGTCACAGTTCAGCTTCTTCGGGGGTTTCACGTGCTCTTTTCAAGTGCAAATAATCTTTTAGACAACATGTTTTTTCTCAAGTGGGACAGACTTGAAATTTGGTCCCGAAATTTGGAGATTTGAGGCTTTGGATGCTGTGGTGGTGGAATCAGCAATGTCCTTCACAAACAGGGCACTCCCTGACCGATTCCAATTCAAAATGCTGCAAACTCAGAGATGTTTATCAGGATCCAACGTGTGATTTACAGTTGGGAATTGCAGTTTATATTCATTCTCAAATTCTCCTGACCTGAAGATTGCAAAATCCTTTGCGAATGTTTAATGCATGAAGCTTTCTYAGACAGGCAGAGTCTAAAACATTTAAATCAGTAAAGGGAAAGATCTGGAGTGCTCAAAGCTCCAAATAATCAGTGCTGGGATTATGGCCTTGGCTGATTCTGAATTGCTGGTAACTTTCTAGGACAGATGACACAACAAATCCTTTTTGGGTTTCACTTTTCACTGAAGTTGGAAATTAATGCTACAGGCAGACTCCAGAATATGGAGGTAGGCCCTGCTGGGTGAAATTCCAGAATTTCCACCCTGTGTGAATGCCAGCTTCTTCCTTCCAGCAGGAGCTAACCCAATACAGTYCCCAGAGCTCTCTCAGTGCCACTTGCACTGAA